GTTATTTCTCTAAGTTTAGAACAAAGTATGAACTATAAAGAATATGAGAGCTTGAGAGTTTCTTCGCTTGAGAATAAGTTTGTCAAACTTCGTCTTCACTGAAGAAAGTGCTATGATATCCTTTATATAGCCACTTGAATATTGGAGAGAATATAATACCGTTGGAGAAGATATTTCCAATATCAAATAGTACTGTCCTTTGTACTATTGCAGCAGAGAGACGACGCACAAAATGTGGGTGTAGCAATTGTCTGCTGAGCTGTGAATTTACCATATATGGAATGTATCAGAGGAATAATATTCTTGCAGAGATTTATGTCTATCCCAATTAAGGAAAGATTTGCTGGCATATTCCAACGGATATATTAAAATAATCTTCTTCAAATAATTCTTCAGATAGTTCAGATCAACAATCAATATCAGAGTCTTCAGTCTTCAGAATCTTCTGGAAACTTCAGAGCCTAAGATGTTCTTCAGATGTTGCTGAATCAGAGTCTGGTGCAGCTGTGTGCTTGAAGCGTAACATGCTCTTAGATCAGAGTCTTCACTCAGATCAGAGTCTTCTCTTATTCAGAGTCTCTTCACTCAGAGTCTTCTTTCATTCAGATTCTTGATAATATATGCAGCGTGTTGTATCTTCAGAATCTTGATGACTAAGCTCTTATACTTCAGATTCTTCTAATCTTCAGATGCTCTTGAGCCATTCAGAATTTATTGTTCACATCAAATTTGCTCTTTAAGATTAAAATCTTTTGTGCCTGTAGAAAACAGTTTAGAACAAATTTAGAGAGTATAATTCTTGTATACAAATTATCATTAATGTTATCATCAAAACTTAGAGATATTACTAAGACACAATCTGTGCTCTTACAATGCATTCATCACATTCGGCGCATACATTCATTATGCATTCAAATATATGTATCACAAAACATATATATATATATATATATATATATATATATATATATATATATATATATATATATATATATATATATATATATATATATATATATATATATATATATATATATATATATATATATATATATATATATATATATATATATATATATATATATATATATATATATATATATATATATATATATATATATATATATATATATATATATATATATATATATATATATATATATATATATATATATATATATATATATATATATATATATATATATATATATATATATATATATATATATATATATATATATATATATTCATCATCCATTCACACCAATTTTCATACATGGTTCACATTCACAATCAATCTCCCCATGCATCTCTACTTAATTCAAATAATGCACAAAATTGCCAAACGGCCACAATTCACACCTCACAAATCCCAAACTAGGATTCACACCATACGGTTACCATAACACATATAACAACATACAATTAGTCATCTCAGGCAAGGAATGATCGCAACCAAACCACACAACCGATCCACGAATGGAAAACACAAGGAAAGAAAATATGTTGTTGTGTTCGTTAACCTTCGCCTGGCGAACCTTCGCTACTCCATTCGCCTGGCGAACTTGCCAGCGAAGACCACTGTGATTTATTCTGGAATTACTCGCTAGCAGTCACCAGCATACTCGCCTGGCGAACCTTCGCCACTCTCATTCGCCTGGAGAACTTGCCAGCGAAGACAGGGTGGATGCTTCTGACTTGGTTCGCTGTTGCTCGCTGGGCTTCGCCCGGCGAAGCTTCGCTGCCATTCGCCTGGCGAACCTGCGAACTCAGAACTCCCATGGCTGTCCAAAAGCCCAAACCTCATAAACCGGCCGATTTGATCCAAATCAGTCCCAGAAGTATAACCCACTCATCACCCGACTATACTACACCGTCTATTCCTAGTTCTAACCGATAAAACTCAGTTTCTACCGATTAAATCAACTTCCGACCTAGAAATGGAAACATAGAAAACAATCCAACAAATCCAATCTAGCACATACATGATCATACATATTATGAAGATGATAAAACTTCTCACCATTACCTGATTAATCGCAAGCTAAGGTTGATTCTTGATGATTCTAGGTTTTGCTCCACTTTCTCTTCTTTTCTCTCCTCCTCCTTTCTTTCTCTTGTTTTTCTTCTTAATGTTTCTCTCTTTCTCCTTTCTCTCTATATCACATATTCTATTTCTTTCCTCCCAAATTCTTTCCACACACTTATCAATTAATTCTCACAAAATATCCACTTAATATTATCACTAATGCCCAAAATACCCTCCAACCTATTTTTACCCGAAACTCTCAAAGTCGACAAAAATAGCTCAATATGTAAACATAACATATTATCACACAAATCAACATAAATAAAATAATCACTTAAGTAAATCAAATAAGGACTCAATAAAAATGGGAATTCAGAATCGGGGCGTTACAGATGGAGTATTTGAAATATTCTCCAAGAGAGAGGTAGCTCAAAAATCCTTTTTTATCCGCCATATTGATTCCTCACTCATAATCGCATTTGTGTAACCAATAAGGGAGACATCATAAAAGGAATTATTCAAGCAAACAATTGAGATAAGTAAGATTTCAATATTAGTTACCAAAGATAACATTTTTCCCCCCTTAGTCCTAACATCAACCAACCAACGGGTCTCAATGAACCTTTTTAGTCGCTTCTTTGATGCTACATCAGGAGGAACAATACCACCGACATGATTAAGCTCCTTTTCAAAGGCCACTAGTTTCCTATTCAAGTATACCTTTTCTTGAGATAAGTTCTCCTCCTTGAAAACATAAGATTCGTTCTCCGTAAAGATATGACTCTAACTCTAAAACTTACAGAATAAATCTATACATACATACGAGGTCCCAAGTTCTATTTTGCATATCTTCTTATGAGCTTCTTAGTTAAGGATAATAACAAAAAAACAGTGATCCTTGAAATGTTTCACGGTGTCATAATAGGTCTCGAAGAATTTGAAGGTTTGCCTCGAAGAAATCAGACCTAGACCATGCCCATGATTAGCCATATTGTTTTGAGTATTGAAGAGATGGAAGAATAACACTATGGTCGGATTACCCCCTCATATTCACACCAATATTTTAAAACCTTGACAAATACCTAACTCACCGAATGTAGTTGTGAATGTGAGATCATTACATGATTCATAAAATTGATTTCAAAGTCATTGAATGGAAGACAAAAGCTCATGAGAGAGAATATACACTCATGGAAGGGAATGACACACCCGTCATATTCACTACATATTCTCTTATCATTTCTAAGCTTTAGTGGTGCCAATTTTTAAAGTTAGATTTCCTCCAAAGGTTTTATTATGTAAAAGATTAGCAGTCTCATAAGCCACATAGGTTCAACCTTTAATGTTTTTCCCTTGAATGAAGCATATTTGTTCCTTGAAGATAACAATAGGAATGATATATGTTAGCTAGTAATCTAAGATCTTGGAAATTGTCTTGAATTTTTAATTTTGCATGTCGATAGGCCTATACTAGTCAAGTGAATCAATAATAGAAGTCTTAAGAATAAGTATTAAGGTATTTTCCATTAATACAAAATATATCTTTGGTAACATTATATTACTATGGATGTTTAATCAATCGTAGTAATAGATAATTTTTACGCTCCTAATTTTTTTTTATTACAAGACTTTTCATCACGGTTATTTATACCGACCGTGGTGATAGATGAAAGGGTACACGATTTGAATCCTAGCACCAACAATTTTTTATTTTTTGTTAGAAAAATGCTTGCAAGCATCAATATCAGACAAGTATTATTCTTCAGGGATTGAAATTGCTAACATATCACCTTTGACATATGATTAAGGCAACTGAGAAAGAAAAATGTCTCACAAATTAGCAAGGGCTTGTGCAAATGTTTTCTGAAGTCAATCATGACGATAAGAGTAAAAAGTCATGTCAGTGGGAAAAGATTGTATAAAATAGACTTAAGTGGTTTAGTCATGAAGAGAGAAGACTTACAAATTATATGATAAGGAAAATAGATTAGACGGAGAGAAGTAAAAGAACTAGAGATATAAAAATACCTAAAAAAATTATAAATTAACGATTTGATAATAGTATAATCTTCAATAGAATATTATATAGAAAAATAATCCTTGTAGCATAGCTCATTTAATAAGATAAGACATGGTTGTTATTAATGTCGTTGTATGATTAATTAAAAAAATTAATTTGATCCAATTCAATATCATACAATTTAATTTAAATTATCTTTTAAAAATCTTAATTATAAATGGTAAATATTTTTATTAACACTAATATTACAAAAATACAGTGAATAATAGTTTTATTATAATATATAACATATAATATATTATAAATTAACATTACAAATAATAATGATCGATTATGTTCAAAATAATTAGAAAATAAAATAAAATAAGACTAAGAGAATTAATATTTTAAAAGAATTAAACATTAACGAAAAATAAATTAATATAATATCTTATATTGATAAAACATATATCTTAGTCTGTATATATATAATGTTTATTAACTTTTAGTAAGTTTAAAATGTCAAAAAATACTCATAAAAAGTAAGAAGTTCATCTAGAATACTATTAACTTTTTTTTAATAAGTTGAAAAAGTAAAAAAGTATACTTAAAAAAACTAAAAGAGTAATATCTTAATTTATCAAATTATTTGAATGGATATGATAACTCAAAATGATATATGTTAGCTGAATTAAATAAATACTAATAGCTAATTCAGTGTTTAATCATCAACAATAAAATTTATTAATATAAATAAAATATTGATATTTATAAAAAAAAATAATAATAAGTGATAATAAGACAAAGACCCAAAACATGAGAGAGAAGAAGAATGAATGAATGTATAATTATAAGATGAGATGATTTGTGGTTATAACATAGACAACTGACAAGACAAAGACTCATGCTTACTATATAGTCTTGTTACTGTTTCAATTCCTTTCTTACAAAAACCAAACTCATTCCATTTCTATGGATTCTCAATCTCAATCCATTCCTTCTTCTTCTGGTAATCCCTCTCAGGTAAACCCTTTCTTTCACTTCAATTCAACACTCTTTCTCAGATTTGGGGATTCCATTTACTCTACCATGTTTCATGTCTTCTCAACTTTACCAGATTTTTATGCAATAGCTTCGTAGTATAGTTTATGTTAAACAATGAAAATGTTTTGATTTGTTTTGAGTTTCTCTGCAGTTATCATGGATGAACTTGTCTAGGAATTTATTGTTAGCATATCAAAGCTTTGGTGTAGTGTATGGAGATCTAAGCACATCACCTCTCTATGTTTATACAAGCACATTTAAAGGAAAGTTAAAGGATCACCACGATGAAGAAACTATCTTCGGTGTTTTTTCATTGATTTTCTGGACTATTACATTAATTCCTTTGCTTAAATACGTATTCATCATATTGAGTGCCAATGATAATGGTGAAGGTATTCGATCAATGTCTATTTGTTTTTCAGGTCGAAGATTATGAACCGAATGTTTTGAATTTTGATTATGATCCAAATATTGTCAGGTGGGACGTTTGCTCTCTATTCACTGCTCTGTAGGCATGCCAAATTTAATTTGCTTCCCAATCAACAAGCAGCCGACGAGGAGCTTTCGTCCTACAAATACGGTCCCTCGTCGCAGACTGGAGCCTCGTCTCCGCTCAAGATGTTTTTGGAGAAGCACAAACGGTTAAGAACAGTCCTGCTTGTTGTCGTGCTGTTTGGTGCTTGTATGGTCATTGGCGATGGTGTGCTTTCACCGGCTATTTCAGGTAAGGTAGTCTTGTGACACTAGGATTATTATACCAAAATCAAGAACTTTAGGAAATAAGCCGAAAACGACTTATGAACATGTCTGTCATAAGATGATTCCATAAGCTCTATCAAACAGTCTCGCAAGTGTTTATTAACCCTTTCACGTGTTGATTTTGTGAAAGAATTAAACACTAAGCTAGTAAAATTGATTTGCAAATTTTTCATTGTGTTCTAATTATCATGATTCTGATAAGAAATTCACTATTATTTTACCTCTTATTACCCTACAGTTCTGGCATCGGTATCAGGGTTAAAAGTTACGATAACGAAATTCAATAACGGTGAGCCAATTTTCATGTGTTAAAGATGTTTCAATTAATATCATTGCTTATGAATTCCTATATCACCATAGAAATTTCATGCTGTTTTCAGGTGAACTTGTTCTTCTAGCATGTGTCATATTAGTCGGCATGTTTGCTCTTCAACATTGTGGAACACACAGGATTGCGTTTATGTTTGCACCAATCGTAATCATCTGGCTTCTATCGATTTTTATTATTGGGATCTATAATACGATACTTTGGAATCCAAAAATAGTCTTTGCTATCTCGCCACATTATATCATCCAGTTTTTCATCAAGACCGGTACCGAGGGTTGGATTTCTCTCGGAGGGATACTTCTCTGTATCACTGGTATGTTAGTTCTCGACTTACAAGAAGCTGAAGCTATGTTTAACACTGAGATAAGTTGAATGATTAGGTTGTTTTTGCGTCTCACCAGGAGCCGAAGCTATGTTTGCAGATCTCGGCCATTTTACTGCTACGTCAATAAGGGTAAGCTTGTCGCTTCATTGAATTTGATGTATTTTCTACGATATTTTGTTTTACCTCTTTTGCATTGTGTTTACACGAGATTTCCGAACTTTCTTTTTTGTATGCAGCTTGCATTTGCGGTTGTTATATACCCGTGTTTGGTAATGCAATACATGGGCCAAGCAGCTTTTTTATCTAAAAACCTCGACTCTATTCAAAATAGTTTTTACGACTCGATACCTGGTTAGTTTTTTCTGAGTTTCTGACTAGTTGACACTTGATAATGATTGATGCCATTGTTTTTTACTGTTTTGGCTTTTGTGGCAGAACCTGTATTTTGGCCGGTCTTTGTTATTGCTACGTTGGCCGCCATTGTTGGAAGTCAAGCTTCGATCACTGCTACTTTCTCCATCATCAAGCAGTGTCATGCACTTGATTGTTTTCCCCGCGTCAAAGTTGTTCACACCTCTAAACACATGTTCGGACAGATCTACATCCCGGAAATAAACTGGATACTCATGGTTCTGACTCTTGCCGTAACCATTGGATTTCAAGACACAACCTTAATCGGAAATGCTTACGGTAATTTATTTAGTTTCGAAATAGTATACGTGTTTTCGTGTTGAAATCATAATGTGTTTTTCCGGTTATTTGGTTGCAGGACTTGCCTGTATGACCGTAATGTTTGTGACTACGTTTCTGATGGCACTAGTCATAGTTTTCGTCTGGCAGAAAAGCTTCGTGATTGCCGCACTATTCCTTTTGTTCTTTTGGGTGATAGAAGCCGTATATCTATCGGCAGCGTTCCTAAAAGTGCACCAGGGAGGATGGGTTCCGCTTGTCCTGTCGTTCTTCTTTTTGGTCGTTATGTATGTATGGCATTACGGTATTCGTAGGAAGTACAAATACGATCTACACAACAAAGTTTCGTTGAAATGGTTACTAGGTTTGGGACCTAGTCTCGGAATTGTCCGTGTCCCAGGAATCGGTCTCATCTACTCGGAACTTGCAACGGGAATACCAGCGATATTCACCCATTTCGTAACTAACCTCCCTGCATTTCACAAGGTTTTGGTTTTCGTCTGCGTGAAATCAGTTCCTGTTCCACACGTCTCGCCTGAAGAACGCTTTCTGATTGGCCGAGCCTGTCCAAGACCATTTCGAATGTATAGATGCATTGTTCGATACGGCTATAAAGACATTAAAAGGGACGACGGCGAGTTCGAGAATCATCTCATACAAAGTATAATGGAGTTCATCCAAATGGAAGCAGTGGAACCACAGTTCTCAAGTTCCGATTCTTCATTTGACGCGAGGATGGCTGTTATAGGCACCAGAAGCTTAGAATCAACTCCAACCTTGATTGCATCCGAGCAAGACAATGTTGATATCGACGAAAGCATCCCGAGTAGCCGATCTATAACACTACGACGCCTACAATCCACCATCGACGATGAGAACCCGCAAGTCAGAAGGCGTAGAGTAAAATTTCAAGTCCCAAACAATCCCGGATTGGACAATGCTGTTAAAGAAGAGATTCTAGACTTAATCCAAGCCAAGGAAGCGGGGATCGCGTACATAATGGGACACTCGTATGTGAAGGCGAGGAAATCATCGTCGTTCTTGAAAAAGATTGTGATCGATATGGGATACTCATTTCTGCGGAAGAATTGCAGGGGTCCGGCTGTGGCTCTTAACATTCCTCACATCAGTCTTATTGAAGTTGGAATGATATATTATGTTTAGTTTGTGGAATTTTACCATTTAGGTTAGAGACTCTTAGTAATTAATGTGTATCTTGCTGTGAGTCTTAAAGTGAAAAATGTGAAATTTATGTTAAGTTAATTGATTATTTTAAGGTTCTTAAAGCAAGTTGGATACAAGGTTTTCATTTTAATGATTGAAAGAAATATGTGATTGAGGTCTTTCTATTTGTATCTATATAGTTTGTTGTTTGCGCATGAACTTGTCAATCCTTGTTTCCATCCTCAAATACCTCACCTTCATCCTTCTTCTTCCTCTCTCGGGACATACCATTATCTTTGACCTCAATCTTTATCTCGCCAGCAGATTTCATTTCCGGCATGTCGATCTCATACGTGTATGCATCTGAATATTCCTTCAAGTCTACTAGAATAGCACTCATATTTGCAGTATTCACATTCACACCTGCATCTGAACCTAACACTGTTGTCAAAACATTGGAGGTTTTGGTGGTTGTGATAAGAAGGTTTCCACAACTATTTTTTAGATCTAGGGTTTTAACATAAGACAACACAACTAAAAAAAGATAGAAAAGATAGAAAGAGAAATCAAGTTCTGAATAATTTCTTAAGGGTTTCAATTGTTAAAATTAGCTTTAAATACAAACAGACTCTATTGGATTGAATTAATGGGTTAGACCCACGTAACAAAATATAACAAAAATACTAATAATCCAATTTATTTTGAATCATAATTTCTCATTCACTTGGGCTTAATTTTGGTCCGTATGTGTATGTTAATATTACTATTCGACCCAAAAACATCCTTGATCTCAAGGTTGGTTTAACATTAGGTTTGGAAGGATGGAAGGTAGAGGCCCAATTGGATGGCCCATGGTTGGCAGAAGGAACGAGATCAGCTTTGTGTGATTTAATAAAATCAAATAAGGATGGAGTGGATACAACTGACATGCTTTGGCGTGTGAAATTGAGATAGTATGGCGGTGCATGTGGGATAGGTAAGAGTAATGACTTGTCTTGTCGTGGCAGTGCCTTGGTAAGGTAACAGGCTGTAAAGCAGATTTGGAAGGATCACATGGAAAGTTATTCAAGGGCTGAGATTGAGGGTTGATGGGCTCAAGGTAATCCTGCGGTGTAAAGGTTAGTGGAAGGTATTCGTTGGAATCCATTAAGTTAGATAGTGGGTTGTGTTTTCCAACTACATTAAAAGTAGACTTATCAGTTTGCTGTTGAACGTTCAAGTCCCGTGGCCTTTCCAATCTCTCTCTATTTGTTTCACTCCTCAGATCTTTGTGTACTTTCTCTCTACTTGTTTTGTGTTCCAAATCGTTTTCCACTTCTTCCTTCGTGAATGTACTTTTTTCATCTTGCACACTTGCAAAAACTATAATCTTGCCTTCTCCCCGAATCAAAGCTTCATGATTCTATGAACTTAGATGAGGAATATCACTTTCGTTTCCATCGACAAGTTGCGAATCCGATGATGTGTCCTCAGAACCTTCAAAATCAGTTGCGATCGAGGTAAATTCTGAAGTAAGATTGTAGCCGTGGAAAGCTCGTAGTTGTGAGACGTGGATAACATGATGGATTTTGGAAGATTAAGGAAAATCTAATTTGTATGCAACTTGTCTGATCCGCTGTATTATTTTAAAGGGCTCGAAGTAGCATTTTTCTAGTTTATGAGAAATGTAACACCATTTTCTACCCCACAAATATTATGGCAAAATAACACAAATATCAGAGTAATTATTAAATTTCAACAAAAAGCCATCCAAAAGGGTGTACATTTTCCAAATCAACAAAATAGGTCAAGGCTCCGTAAGCAACGGGTTTTTCCAAAATACATCAAATTGCACAAAGCAGCGGAACTCAAAAGGCATAAATCAAGGTTTTCCTCATACGGGAAGATAATCAAAATAAACTCAAATAAAACGTAGTTTAACTCAAAAGACCCCAACCCGATGTTACATATCAGAGCAAGACTCTCTAAGTTAACCAAAAGGCTAACAACTCAAAGACTTCAAAAATATCCTCAACGGCGTCCACGGCTAAACCTGATCATCTGCATGTTACCCACGTGGAGGTAACATTCAAACAGACAGGGTGAGTAAAACGATTCATAATAATCAATGTATAAAAAAATCAACATATAAAACGACGTCATATTCATATTCAACACATCGATATCCTTCAATAGGCCTCAAAGGCCACAACATCATAAATTATTCCAAATGACTCATAAATGCAAATACAACAAGACTCAATGCATGTGGTACCAATCATCACAGTATGATGGAAACTGGGCCATCAACCCTCCAAAGATCCCCATCAATAGGGTCGATTCTACTTGAGAACCAGAGCACATCAAAACACTTTACATCCGCACAATGGGATTGAAGCCAAAGCAATTGAGGTCCTGAACCGAAGTCCGGATGCACATGAATGCATGATGCACACATCAATAATCATCCTCATAATAATAGCATGGTGCATCATCATTCATCATATTCATCATCATCACAATCATCATCATATCTCATGTCATCATATAATTCATCAAAGTCATGGTAATATCATCATAGTTTTTCAATCAATACATCATAGAAATCATCATGTAATCATGTACACATCACATAAAACTCACAGTCATACTCATGTTAATTCGTCAAAGAAATAACAGAATCAAACATCAAGGCATCGTTGCACACGATCAACATTTGCGAAACTCTGCTACGTTCGCTGGCATGTTCGCTAGGCGAGTCTGGGGAAAGTTTCTTCGCTAGGCGAGTCTGGGAACAACATGGTTTGCTAGGAGAAGCATTATTCTCTAGGCGAACAGTGCGATAACAATAAATTCTGCTACGCACCAGAACCTAAATCCACCCAAATGTCCACATGATTCACTTTCCCAATGCCCCTAAAACATCCCTAAATCATCCCTAAGGTATTACAACGATAAAGGCACAAAACCTACGGTTTATTAGACCAATCCCGTATCATATTCACGCCCTAAATCACAAATTTCCCTACAATTACCCTGCAGGCATCAGAGTTACTCACTATCTAATATTCCTATCCCTTTAGGGTTAGACAAATAACAATTCATGGTTTTGGCCATGAAGGCCTAACTTTTCCTTTTCCCCAATGAATTCCATGGTTAGATTCACAATAACAGATTTAGGCCACGAAGGCCAAAGATCACTATTTCTCATATCCACCCTCAAAATCCCTTAAACCTTAAATCGACCTTAAATAAATTGAAAGTTACACATGGAAAATCTTGAAGGTAATACTCTTCATACCTTAATCGTCGATTCAAAGCCTTCGCAATCTTTCAGGGAATCTCTCGAAGCTTCTGCCTCCAATTCTCTCCTCAGAGTTCTGGCCTCAATACTTTTCACAGTCTAACAAATGAACCCTAATCCCTTTCCAATTTCCTTTTTGTTAAACCTAGTCTTGGGCCTCACAATTGGGCTTTCTCCATAATACCCTCACTAACTCCTCTGAATTGTCCCAATTGCCCTTATTCATATTTTAATTCATAATAATATTAATAAATTCATATTACATACTATTATTCAAAATAAATGACCCTAAAAATGCACAATTCTCAATATTCCACAAAACCACCGAAAATCACCAAAAAATGAATATTCTCAATTAAATTAATTAATTAAAATATTCCAATTAAATTTGGGGTGTTACAACTCTCCCCCACTTAAAAGAATTTTCGTCCTCGAAAATTACCTCAAGAAAATAGAGTCGGATACGACTCCTTCATCTGATCTTCACGTTCCCAAGTCCAACTTTCTCCAGCCGGTCCTCCCCAAATTACCTTCTGTCATACCCTAAATTTGTCCTACCTGCTTTTACATTTCATTTTGTGCATCTGCCCCACCATTTAGTATCCAAAATATGTGGTTGCTGCTCGAGTGTGTGGTATGGACTGAGTTTCAATGGTTGTGGCTTAATTGGTCAGTCGGGCAAATATATTTGTTTTAAACACGATGCTGGGGAGAGTATTGATCCAAATGATGCATGTTTAAGGATCGATCAGAGATATGTGTTTCGAAATGAATTTCTCGGTTCATTCATAACCAAAGTAGGATTTGCAGAAATTATGGATTACTGTTGATTAGGCTCAAATTGGTTCTAATATTGGCATTAAATTCAAAGATTTTTTTTAGGGACATGATCATTGATTCTAAGGCGTGGATATGTTGGTTTGTGGTTATACAATTTTCAAGTCATGGTCCATAGTTTCTTGAGTGGCAAGACTTTGATTTGTCTACTTTAAAATGTGGTTGAACTGGTTTTCGAGTGTGAGCGTGATATACGTGGGGATTATTTTTATTTGAGAAGTTGTTCTCATTTTTATGGATTTGATCAAGTTTGATGTAAATTGAAAAGGTTGAGTATGAATATGTCTATGCCCAATTCAATTGTCATAAAAAGGAGGCTTAACATATGCTTACGATCCATTGCAACAAGCCATATTAATCATGTTTGGAATTCACTCAAACCATACAAGGTGCCGGCATAACAGAAGAGTCGCCACCTTTCGTTATTTATCCCTCAGAGCGGGAAAGGAAACGATCGGACAAACTTGACGAAAAAGGGTAAGACAAGGTCATCGCAACCATTTTCTGGGTTCGGGAGTCGGTTACGCAAGGGGAAGGTATTAGCACCCCTCACGTCCGTCGTACTCGACGGGATCCTCGCTTGTTGTGTTTACTTGGATGGGTTGGTTTTATTCTATCTACCTATCAAGGCTGGCTGAAAAAGAAAAGAAAAATGACTCGGCAAAGCATCGCGCTTTATGCCTACGTATTCTCATCAGAGAATGAGAAATCAGAGTCAACGTAGTTCGGCCTACGAAGGGGTTATGGGGGAAGGTAGCTCGCCAAGACATCGCCATCTTGTGCCTACGTACTCTCAACAGGTGTAACACGGTGGGAGAACTGACTTTAAACAATGTTGCGGATAGCAAGAGTCGCCACCGACTTTTATTTTATCCATAAG